TGTCTGTCTGTCTGTCTGTCTGTCTGTCTGTCTGTCTGTCTGTCTGTCTGTCTGTTTGTCTGTCTGTCTGCCTGCCTGCTTACCTGTCTTCACTTCACTTTGTCTGCTCGTAATAAGCCTCTCCATAATGGTGTTACTGGTTTCGTGGACAGTCTGAGGGACCCTATCCCTTCTACTCATGTGTTGTGTCCTCTTCGCCATAATGCATTCCGGGCAAAACATGGTCATTATGCAGGTTGTTAGATGGCGCCTCTGGTTGGTCCTCCTTTCTTATCCCTCTTTTGTTTCTGTCTGGACCGTATGTCTTGTTTTTCCCTAGCACTAAACGATTATTATTGTGCCAACTTGCTTCTCTTGTAACTCAAACGAAATGTTTTTGTTTTCACGAAATGTTTTTGTTTTCACGAAATGTTTTTGTTTTCTCGCTGAAGGAATTGCCTTGCAGTAGACGAAAGGCTCAACTCAACGGCTCAGTAAGGGTGCAAATTGTGCCACCTCTGTAATAAAAATCCAGATAAATTACGGTGTCGTGTGTCTGGGATCAGTCTCGTAACACAGCGCGCTGTTGGCACACGGCCTGACATTCCTCTGTGTCTGTCTGCCGTAAGGGTTTCTTCGTCAAAGGACGGTGAGCGACAGAGTCCAATGATAATCCTCATTGTCTAACGTCATCTAACGGGAGCTTTGTAGTAGCGGCGCTTGTGTCCTGTGCTCGCGTCTGTCCTTTCTCGAGACTCGAAATTCAGTTGGATCGTTTTGTCCTTTTTTCTGTTAATTAAATTGGCCTCTGTAATGCCATGGTTTGGCTCTTAATTGTCGGCGTATGCAGGAGACGTGAGTTCTATTGCCATGTTGGGAAGCAATTTTTAAAACATCTTTGTCAGACTGTTGAACTTGGTGTTCTACTCAACTTGAGTTGGCCCTGACAGACAGGGTTGAAACAGGGTCTCCTAAGTTATCAAAAGTGTGTTGATGGGGTTGTTAGATATTTGCGATCAGTCAATCGTCTTGCAATGTAGTGGAAAGTGATTAGTCGTTGCTTTGCTTGCAAGTGGTCGGGGGGGGGGGGGATACCACTTTTCGTGCTACGATCCATAATTTTGCAACCCCATTGATCGGAGACTGAAATCGTCAAAGAATCAATGTGTGCCCTTAGCATTTAAGGCTCTCTAACTTATTGACTCGCTAATTAAATGACTGGAGAATTGCTCACGTAATAAGTACTCTTCTTAATGACTGTATATAATT